CACACACACACACACACACACACACACACACACACACACACACACCGTGAAAAGCAAAGCAAAGCAATACAAAAGCCTGAAGTACAGTCACACACACACACACACACACACACACACACACCGTGAAAAGCAAAGCAAAGCAATACAAAAGCCTGAAGTACAGTCAGCTGGCCTGCCCAGGAGGCTCCATAAACAGCTACTCCCATACCCATTAAAACATTCTGATCTTAGTATATTATGTGTAGAATATGTATATAGTTTTCTAGACAGTAAAAAGAACTACTGTTAATATCTTTTTGCTTCTATGAATTAGGCACTCTCCCTTACATTTAGTATGTTCCTGCTCTCTTCTTTTAACATACTTTAAATTTTACATAATAGTTAAAGCACAACAGTTTTGAGTGCATTTTTATTATTGTGTCAATTTTTCTGTATTGGTACCAGAGCTTGACCTTAGAGCCTTAACAACCTATTCAACTTTTTTTGATCACAGATGGTGCTCTACCACTTAAGCCACATCTTCAGTTCAGCATTTTGATGGCTAATTGGAAATGGATGAATTTGCTCAGGCTTTGAACCAAGATCTTCAGGTTGTAAATTCCTGTTTGTCTTCCTTTGAGCCAAGAGTACCTGTCTTAGGTGCACTTTTTTGAAGTTACAATTTTAGAATAAAAGCAATATGCTTTCAAAAATATTTATAGTTAATGAAAGTCATATATAATCTGATGCCTGTTGGACAGTTGTGATCTTTAAAATCTATGACAAACCAGAGAATTCATGCATCTTATTTCAACTGTAGGAAGCAGAACACTTGTATCCATGACCTCACTATGAAACTATGTATTTCTTAATTTATTTTTTTAAATTATTATAACAGCCGGACGCCAGTGGCACACGCCTGTAATCTTAGCTACTAAGGAGGCTGAGATCTGAGGATCACAGTTCAAAGCCAGCCCAGGCAGGAAAGTCTTATCTCCAATTAACTACCAGAAAACTAAAAGTAGCACTGTGGCTCAAGTGGTAAAGCACTAGCCTTGAGCTGAAGAGCTGAGAGACAGCAGCCAGGCCCAGAGTTCAAGCCCCATGACTGACCAAAAAAATTGTTAATATAATGGTGATGTACAAAGCATTTATAGTTATGTAAGTCAGGTAAAGACTTTTTTGGACAATGTTACCCCTTCCTCGCTCTTTCCCAGTTTTTCCCTCAAAACTCCATATTGCGTTCTTCCGTAATTCTTACCTTTTTGTTGTTTTCTTTAATATCTTGAGGATTCAGAGACTTGTAGTCACTGAAGGAGAAAAATGGGACAATGGGTACATATAATATTAGATTTACAAAGCTGTTTTTAAAAAACTTGAATCTAAAAATATGACATTCAATAATAAAGAAGAAAAACTAGCAGTTTCACAGCAATTCAATCAGTAAAGCCAAGAGTATTGAAAATAAAGGAAATAAAAGCTTTTAACCCAGAAGAGAGGTAGAGAGAGAGGACCAGAGTAGCCAGATAACCACATTTATCATAATGTAATCCTTTGCTGTTACTGTACAAAGACCTATAGGCCTTTTATCTCATCTCATTTGTACACTAACACAATTTTCATGATAATTTAAAGTCAATTTTTTGTATAATATTAAGGTGTAAATCATTTTTTTTAAAAAGGGAAAAAGTACCAAGGAAGAAAAACTTTCTGTTATACAGTTCTGTCAATAAAGCAAGAGACATGGTTACTAAACAACATAAAGTATATAAAAAATATATAAAGTCAAGTATTTAAGGATACATAATAAGAACTTATTTTGTGATTTTTTTTGGGGGGGGTCTGGTTGTGGGGCCTGAACTCTGGGCCTGGGCACTGTCCCTCAGGCTCTTCAGCTCAAGGCTAGCGCTCTACCACTTGAGCCACCGCACCACTTGCGGCTTTTTTCTTTTTGCTTATGTGGTGCTGAGGAATTGAACCCAGGGCTTCAGGCATGCAAGGCAAGCACTCTACCACTGAGCCACCTTCCCAGCCCCTATTTTGTGATTTTTTAAAAATAAATGTCTGTTATTTATAAACTATTTTGCCATCTTTTAAAAATGTTTATTATTTATAAACTATTAATAGGGAATGGGACATATTTCTACTTACATTAAATCTGGTCTAAAGTGGTGCAATATTGCACAAAAAGATAAACCATTTCTCCATGATGTAGTAAAATTGGTGATTTTTACTCCCCGGTAATTTTTCGTGACTTCTTTGCACCATACAAGCAATGACTGACTAGCATTTGGCTTTCGCCCCAAAACAGGACTTGGTATAGGGCTTGGCTAGAATAAGAGAAATGAAGAAAACATTAAAAGAATTTAATGGAAGATGAAAATTAACATTAATTGACCTAACTAGATCATTTGAACCCTTTGATGTCAGTTTAGGTCCTTCAAAACTGTCAGTTCATGACAACTGTAACCTCTAAAGGGAGACATAAATCTTAAGTTATTATCTTCAGTTTTAGCCCATGGCATTTGCCTGACAAGGATATAGATATGTGAGAGTTAAAGTGTATACGTAAGAACAAGCCAAGAGCTTTGTTGATAGAAACATAATGTTGAAAGCATTTAAATACTTAAGGCTGAATATTTGTATAATGCTCATACTCTGAAAGATTTTTCTCAAATGTAAAGGAACAAAATATTTCTTTTTCACAATATCAAAAATTATTCATTTTAAGTTTAATTGTGGCACAGATTATTAGTGGAAGAGAAATCAAAATAAGTTTTCAAAATATAGTCATATTAAATAAATATCACAATTATAATTACATTCAAATGCCTTTCCTGTAAGAATTTAAAGTTATTAACAACAGTTAGGTATTGGAAGAATTTAAATTAGGTGTTGGAACAGCATATACCAACAGTACGTAAGTCAGATATGCTCAAATAGTTTCTAATTTTAATTGAGAACTATTTTTAAGTATGAGGTGGGTGACATGAGTTTCAAATCTTAAGCATATATTTGTCCTTGTGTGCATACACTTAAAACCACAATGACGGGTAAGATTTATATACTTTTTTTTTTTTTGGACGGTCATGGGGCTTGAAGTCTGGGCTTGGGCGCTGGGCTTGGGTGCTGTCCCTACGCTCTTCAACTCAAGGTGAGCGCTCTACCACTTGAACCACAGCGCCACTTCGAATGATGGGTAAGATTTTAATTCTAAACTTGTATTGTTTTTAAAATCATGTCATTTTCTTTCATTGAACAACTACAATTTGTGATACTATCACAAATATGGAGGCTGATACAATTGAAAACTGTTAAGAAACCCACTAAATATTTCTGAACTATAATCTTCTTATTAATAAAAACTAATGGCTATAGTAGTGACACTTAGATATAAAACAGAAGTCCTCCAAAACAAGGTCAAAGGAGAAAAATTATTTACCTCTAATATTTAAGTTTAACAACAAGCCATTTCTACCATATTGCTTAAGAAAGTCCAATGATGCCCCCATTTGACAAAAGCATGTTAGTGCCAAACAAAATCAACCCCAACATAACTATGACTTGTATATCTACTGCTTCTATGGGAAGACTAAGAATCAACAAAAATGTAATTTATCATTTTTATTAACTGCCCGATTAACAAATAATTAGATAAACAACCATGAGTCTAGCAAAATGCCATTTTCTATCATTTTTTCTTAATTCAGTACCGGGGTTTGAACTCAGGGCCACCACCTTGTACTTTCTAGAGAGTTGCTCTATCTCTTGAGCCTGGGCCCAGGGTCTATGAAGTGCTGTTTTAAAATGATCATCTTTCAAAAGTAAATTAAAAAAAAACCTCACAGATGATAAAAATTAACAAACTTAGATCAATTCTACTTAATATTCAGAAGTAGGTAAAAACAGGATTCTTCAAATAGCAAATAATATATCTTTTAACTATCCATCTATGGTCTACTGTAATTGTGAAATCCATCTAATCATTTAACTTGTGGGTAGAGATTTACCTTATTAATAAGGTAAGATGATTGCTTAACTGGGAAAAATAATTTTTCTCATTATTTTCTTTATCACTAAAAGCTGGCATATTTTTCTATATAAAATTATATTGTTAAGGCATGGAGTTGTTCCAAGTTGTACATCAGGCAACTAATCTTCTCTATCACACTGTCTATAGTTTCTTCCTTACTCATACATATATATATTCCTCCCCCCACCCAACCCCCGGTCCTGGAGCTTGAACTCAGGGCCTGGGCTCTGTCCCTGAGCCTCTCTCTGCTCAAGAGTAGTGCTCTACCACTTAAGCCACAGTGCCACTTCAGCTTTTTGAGTACTTTGTTGGAGATGAGTCTCATGGGGACTTTTCTTCCCCGGTTGGCTTCCAACTGCAATCCTCAGATCTCAGCCTCTAGAGTAGTAGGATTAACAGGTGTGAGCTACTGGAACCTGGCTTCAATATTATTTTTTTTTAAATTTTATTGTCAAGGTGATGTGCAGAGGGGTTACAGTTACATATGTAAGGTAGTAAATACATTTCTTTCGTTTTTTTTTTTTGGTCCGGTTGTGGGGCCTGAACTCTGGGCCGGGCGCTGTCCCTCAGCTCTTCAGCTCAAGGCTAGCGCTCTACCACTTGAGCCACAGTGCCACTTCCGGCTTTTTTTCTTCTTTTTGCTTATGTGGTGCTGAGGAATCGAACCCAGGGCCTCAGGCATGCAAGGCAAGCGCTCTACCACTGAGCCACCTTCCCAAGCCCCGGTAAATACATTTCTTGTCACACATCGTTACTTCCTCCCTCATTTTTCTCCCATTTTTTCCCTCCCCCTTAATCAATATTCTAATGAGCAGTTTGGTCTCTCTGCATTTTGTGCTGATTCATTCTTGGATTTCCAAATATACACTTACAGTTTAAACTATGATACTTCCAACTAGCTGTCTTTTCTATCATATAAAATTTGAAACTCAGTATGTACAAAACCATAATCATTCCTTACAATCTCCTTTTCATTGCTTGTAAATGATAGTGCTTATTGTTTTACTTGTCTTAGACTTTTAATCTCAGAATCATATTTGAATTGTTCCTTCACCTATCACCTCTTAATAGTTAATTTATGAACAATCTGATTTGATTTGATTTTTGCCTAAGGCTTCTACAAAATCATAAGAGGTCTTCCTTCTTCCAAATTGTCCCTTATCTAACCCATTAGTCACAATATAGGTCTTCTTAAACACCACTAACATCTTTTTGGGTCTCACAAAAACACAAAATGGTGGTGAAATATTTCTGACATTGAATCCCAAATCCTTTTCAATGTGTTTATTCTCTAGGATGACTTAGTCCCCATCTCTTTGGTCACACAGATCATCATTTGCACTTAGAATATCTTTAGTCCCTTCTATCCCTAGTACAACTGCTATGGCTGAGATAGTAGGATCATGAGTTGTAGAGTAGTACACAAGACCTTGTCTTGGGGAGAGGGGAAGTTTGGGATGTGGTTTAATGGAATAGTTTTTGCCTAAAATGTGTGATTCTTTGGGTTTATTCCTCAGTAGAAAAGGGTTTATAGCCAGAAAAACTCATAAATTGATCAGGAAAATGAAGTCAACTAATACAATAATAAAAAAATTGAATGGCTACTTTCAAATTTTTAATTGTCTTTACAATGAAATCCAAGTATTTGATAAATAAAAATCAATGTTAGAATTCAGAAAAGTTAAAGGTTCTAATATACACTTACCTTAGAAAGCAAGACAATTAAAATCTTTTAATTTAAATGTAATATTTCAAAGAAATAAAAATATTAAATGTTGGCAAGAAAGGGAGTTTTTCTTTTTTCCTTTTTTTAAAAAAGTAGTCATACAAAGGGATTTCAAGTCAACATGTCAGTTTATAAGCTCACAAGGCATCTTGATCAATGTCATCCCTTCCATCTTTCTCAAAGGGAGTTTTTGTACAGGGTTGATTAAAAAACAACAATAACAAACAACACTCTGATAATGTCTGTTATTCTACATTTGAAGACATGTCTTATCCTATCACCCACCAATTCCTAGGTTTATATCCTATAGAAACATATGCTTCTACAGAATAGACTACAAATACAGCAATGTCATAGCAGCAGTTTCAATTTTTCAATTCTGAAATGGCTAAACATGACATGGATATAAATTTTTTTGATAATTCAGATAGTGAAATACCACACAGAGAGACACACATAGAGCCTATCTAGTGAAAATTCTAAAAAAAAAGCATAGCTTATCATATAACAGAAGCAAGATCAAATATATATAATAATTATCTAAATGCTGGTGACTCATGCCTGTAATCCTACTGGAGAGTCTGAGAGCTGAGTAATTTTGCTCAAGGCCAGCCCAGGCAGGAAAGTCTGATAGACTCTTATCTTTAACTAACCATCAAAAATCTAGAAGTGGAGCTGTGACTCAAGAGGTAGAGAACAAAGCCTTGAGTATAAAAGGTAAGTATAAAATCCAGACCCTGAGTTCAAGCCTCAGCACCAGCAAACACACACACACACACACTCTCTCTCTCTAATAACTCCATAGACTAGAAAGGGCAAAAAAAATCTACATACACTAGAAATAAAGAGACCAGTGTATGATTTCAGATTCTATGTTGCAACAATCAAGAGTTCAGTATTATAAAAGAGAACAATATTCTAATATTCAAAAGGTCTATTAAAATCCTCTTTACTGGTTGAGGATAGAGTGCATGTTAAGCATGCACAAGGCCCTAAGTTCATAAACTGCAAACTACACATTACAATGGACACTGGTAAACAAAAAAAAAGTCACCTTCTCAATAAATTGTTTTCCTTGGAAAATACAGTCTTAATTTATTAAAGTACTTATGCTTACATATGGTAAAATTGTTTATAAGCTAAATGAATTAATGTTTTAAATTACCCTATTTTAAATAGTATAAATATCATTCTGTATAGTTCACATAAATGTTGTTTGGAATTTTTTTGTATATGGTCATTATAATCTTTACATATTTTTTTATTTCTTTTTTGTTGAATGTTTTTATTAAGGAAGAGATATGTAAGCCAGACACTGGTGGCTCATACCTATAATCCTAGTTACTTAGGAGGCTGAAATCTGAGGATCGTACTTTGAGGCCAGCCTGGGCAGGAAAGTCAGTGAGACTCTTATCTCCAATAAATTACACAGAAAAAGCTGAAAATCATGGTGCTGTGGCTCAAGTGGTAGAGTGCTAGCCTTGCGCAAAAGCAGCTCAGGGACAGTACCCTGTCCCCAAATTTAAGCCCTTAGGTCTGGAAAAAAAGTATGATTTGTCAAATATTTTTTC